ACTATACATCAATAGATAAATCTAATACTCTAAAGAAGCTAAGATGTTACCAGCTGAAGAATTTGGAATGAACAAGCAAAAATACAGGGGAAGCTGATTTGAAAAGAAACGTTCTTAGAAACGTCTATTTTCATGGCTATCTACATATTTCAATCATCGTTTCATGCTGGGTCCAGCTGAAGTTCTTGAACAGCCAACAAATTCTTGATCAAATGGTCTTCCACTCACCAATCGTGAAGAGTATGAGCCACTTTTTCTCAACTTTCCTGGAAATTCTTTGCTTGAATTTCCCTTGAAAGAAAGGTTCTTTACACGATTTCGATTAACGAAAAGCATCGAATTTCGTGGAGGTGCATGTAAGGCACCTTCAACACAGTCCCCTACCTGAGCACAACCCCATGGCCTTGGTGGACCGTCTTCACTGGTTGAGGGTCTAGGCCTTGGTAAGGAATTTGCATTCCTCAATCTCGAATTTGCTCGTTGCTCGGGCGAATGGTCATCCTCATGTTTCAAACAAAGTGGGCAAGGTGGGTCACTTTTACGAATCTTTGGAGTAGTTTGATCCAAGCATTCAGCATGAAAAACATGTCGACATGAAAGAACGCCAGCAACTGGCATATCAGCACTTCTCACGATTCGACGTGAACTCCATGGCGATCTTTGTGAAAGAAATCTTTCACATAAACCACATCTGAAACCATCAGATTTACATGATGATCTAAAATAGATGTCTGATTCAAGTGGCTCAGACACATCAGCAAAATCAATGCTACTACTTGCACTGCTCCATTGTTGGGTGTCTCTTTGAGGAGTAGGAGAATCAAACTCAAGGAACCCTAAATTGGTAGATTCAAAAGCTTCTCCAGGCGAGTTTTGCATAGGAATGACCAAAGGATGAATAGGTTTGGACATGAAAGAGCGACGACTCGTGAAGTTCCAATTAGAGGCTGAGCGTAACTTGACCGTAGGCTCGTCACTACTGTCTGAATGTGAGAAAGTAGAGCTCCCACTATCTGGGTTTTCAGAGGTAGCCTGCAAAGTTCAATGAAAACTACTTGTAATTTGCTAATTTTATGCTAATCACTGTATCAGGGAGATGACATAAAACTCAGTAGTACCTCTGCTGCAGGCCAAAAGGAAAACGTCCTCAATGAAGAATCTAGAGAACAAGACAATAGAACAGTTCAGTTGATGCAGAGCCATTATTAAGCGGAAAAACAAAACTGATTCCCATACTTAAATATGCCATGCCATTCTCAGTAATATATATAAGCAGCAATAATCTGAAGTAAAAACTGATGGAACATCTCGAGGCAGAGATATGCAAGGAAATTTTCTTAATATAGTCAGAACCTATAGATCAAATCATAATATCACACTGGGGAAAGGTAAACAAATAGATCTAGCTGCTAGAGGACATGCCATGATTTGTGCTTGTCCATAAATTTCATGCAAACTTCACTCGCACGCGGGGATGAAACTAGTTGAATAGCCAAAGGGCAGGGTGAGACTCACTAGTTTAAAATGGTATATCCTTCCCTTGAAGGCATTTAAGAACTTAAACAAGAAAAAGCAAATTAAAGGGGAAGATGACCAAAAAAAAGACTACAGATCGTTTCATCAGAGCAGACACGAGTTTGCCTCAATGGTCATGTTTGGAAGTGGGGGCTATCAGGCTCATGGGTGTGAAAGTCCAAGGGCAGTTTCCATACTCTAAATTATCAAATAATGATTCCCCATTGTCCGTGATGGAAACGACATTCCCCCTTTTCTCCTGCACATAGAGGACACTGTACATGTGAGATCCCATATCAGTTGGAGAGGGAAACAAAACATTCCTTATAAGGGTGTGGGAACCTCTCCCTAGTGGATGCGTTTTAAAACCGTGAGATTGACGGCAATACATAACGAGTCAAAGCGGACAATATCTATTAGCGGTGGGCTTGGACTGTTACAAATGGTATCAAAGTCGACACCGGACGGTGTACCAACGAGGACGCTTGGCTCCCAAGGGGGGTGCATTGTGAGATCCTACATTGGTTAGAGAGGGAATGAAACATTCCTTATAAGAGTAACCTCTCCCTAGCAGACACGTTTTAAAACCTTGAGGGGAAGCTTAGAAGGAAAAACCCAAAAAGGACAATATCTGCTATGATTACCCCCCCCCCCCCCCC